ATCAATARAAATAAGATAAAATAGAATAAACTGCCTTACCATAACCACATCCAGTTTTTGAAGAATGTTAGACAATGTGAAGACTGAGAGTTCTAATCTGTGTGTTAATTTCTCAWTAAGTCATAGTTAATCACAAAAAAAAAACACCATCAGTAGATCCAACAATTGTTGACCTGTTATAACACTGGCCTTATTTATATGTGTGCATATAAATGTAAGTATATTTGAGAGTAATTTACAGAGACATGACCTTTCATTTTGACATCTATATAAGATAAACCTGTGTAGTCACAGCACTTTTTTTTTTCTTTGCAGTACTGGGAATTGAACCCAGGGGCACTTTACCAGAGCTACATCCCCAGCCCTTTTATTTTGAGACAGAGTCTCACTAAGTTGCTTATGACCTTGSTAAGTTGCTTAGGTCCTCACTAAGCTGTTGAGGATGGCCTCAAACTTGCAATTCTCCTACCTCAGCTTCCTGAGTTGCTGAGGTTACAGGTGTGCACAACCATGCCCAGCAGTTATAGTACTTTTGTTTGGTCAAGAACTGAGCAATTGGTGCTGGGGTTGTAGCTCAGTGGTGGAGCCCTTGCCTAGCACACATGTGGCACTGGGTTCAATCCTCAGCACCACATAAAAAATAAAATATTGTGTCCATATGCTAAGGCAGAGGGGGAGGTCTTCATGTTGTTGAGGGTGTACCCTCCAGGGAGGATARTGGACACCCCCCCCTTACTCTCTTTTGCTTCTTGGCCATGAGGTGAGAGGCTTTGCTCTGTCACACAAACATAGTGTTCTGCCTCACCAAGGGTCCAAAGCAACAGCCAACAAACAAGGGACTGAAATCTCCAAAACTATGAGCCAAGATAAACCTRTCCTCTTATAAGTTTGTGATAATAGCTTGTCCAGCTGATGGTGATGCTCAGTCTTGTTTCCTCATCAAGACAGTGACATCAGCTTTCTCTGCTGAAAGAATCCTGAGGAACCCTTTCTATCAGTCCTCCCAGAGATGTATGACACCCCAGGTGTTGGGTAAGAAGGGGAGCTCAACCCCATGAAGTGATGTTTCAGTTCTGGGGCCTCCGCCTCCACCTCCCCCTGGCTCTGGGTCCTAAGTGCACTTGGTTACTTGGAGAGACCTCAGGCTTAGATACTAACTCTGCCAGTTAGGAGTTCTTTCCCAGGGCTCCCTGCCTTGGGATTCTCTGGCRCAGTTTCTTTCTCTGAGGATAAATGGGAATGCACCATACCCGCTGGGGCTCAGAAGTGATTATGGGCTGAGACCTAAAGAAGCCTCAACAGGAAACCTGGGCACTTGGTAAATCTGTGCTTGAGCACCACTGACAACCTTAAGCCTGTCCTAAGAGTGGGCATTGGACCAAGGGCTTTACACTTACAGTCTAGTTGGATAGTTCTCCATCTAACCCTGTGTAATGGTTGACTTTCTYATCCCCAATTTGCAGATAAGGAAATGGGCTTAATAAAAAATTCCTTCTAAGACTTCCAACTAGGAAATAAAGGAGAACCTGAGCAGCCTGAAAGGTGCTGCTTAGATGACAGAGGACACTGTTGCCTCTAGAGAAGGGCTTAGGCCTACCTGAGACCCCCAACTCCTATCGTCATCACAATCAGTTTTTAGGAGTACTATTGTCACCCAGTGACCAAGGAGAGGCTCTGAATGTGGCTGCCTAAGATCAGAGAGGTGAAGTCCTCAGCCATTGCTCAGTTTTGTTTGGTTTTTACCTGTGATGTAGGGACAGTCATGGCAGTACTTAGGACTGCTCTGTGGAAATTTAAAGTGGCTCTGGGCCTATCTCAGATGATCTTCCAGACATCAGATCCCCTATTTCACAGATGAAGAAGCTGAGTGCTCTTGAGAGGCAGGGTGATATACCAGGTGATCACATTCTAGCAGTTTTCCCAAGCTGTAGGCCTTACCACATGCACACCTCTGCCCTGATACCCCCAATTGTCTGAGGTGGCCATGGTGTCTATGTGCAGCTGAAAGTGGGACTCACAGGGAAGGCAGGTGTTGCTGAGTCATTCTGCTGGCCTTCCTGACAGCCAGGCCTTGGTGGGTGAGGGATACCAAGCTGCCCATGCCATATCTGGCATTTCATATAGTCCCCTGGACAGTCTTGACTCATCTGTGCCTGTCCCCTGGCTGCCTGCAGGGCACCATCTGTGCACACTAGGCCAATGCCAAAGGAACTTTCTGGAACACCAGCTGATGTGTGAGGACCTGKGGTGTGGTGGAAGGTGGTGGAGTTTAAGGTTTTTTGATACCCTCTGCCAGGTGAATCTGGCTCTGTGTTTCTGGCCACGACCCCTCAGGCCTTGGTTACCATATTTTTTAAATGGGAATAATCAATCATAGCTAAATGAGATTGTCCCAGGGGTTAGATGACACACATGAACATATGTAGCTATATTTCCATTCATAATCCTGCCTCCCTGAACAACCGCCTGGCACACAGTAGATACTTATTGTAGGTTAATGGAATGAATGAATGGATGGAGTCTTAAAACAGAGCAGAGGCCCTGGAGCACTGGGTTGAGGAGTGAGAAAGTGGGGACACTGTAACTAAGTTCCCTTTGCAACATTTTGTTACCTGAAGAAAGGGGAGAGCATGAGACCCTATAAAGGGGAGTGCTATTTGCATTATTCCTGAGATCTCTGCCCCTTTCCTGGGMAGATCACCATCCTAGAGAGAATGGTGCAGCAGCAAGAGAGTGCCAACAGACTAACTCAACCTGCCCCATCCAACCAAGAGTAATAAAAATAGAAGTGTTCTTTCTGAGATATTACCCTGTGCCAGACTTGAGCCAGCTACCTTACCTCTGCAGTTCATGTTTATCTGAGAAAAATCCCCAAGAACACATTATCCTTGGTCTATACATGAGGAAACTGAGTCTCAGCCAAGATAAATGGACAGAGGTAAACAGCAAAGGACAGAGGGCCCTAGGCCTGGCTCCAGCCTCAATTCTGAACAGGCAGGGGTGTCTCAAGGTCATGTMCTAGGGCCCCTGGCCATACCTAGGCTCGTGATGAGTGTCTCTGGCCTGTTGGGGCAGCTGCCAGAATGCCTGGAGTCTGAGTAGCCCTGTGTGGATGTGGTTCCCTTGGCAATGAAGACACACAGCTGAGGTCAAGAGCTCAGATTACCAGAGGGGAAAGCCAGCAGTGTTTCCCTGCATGGCCCCTGCTGGGAAGGGCTGTAGCTACCACCTCCTCCTCTCTCCCTCCCCCACCCATCCCCCTTACCCATCCACTTCTGCCAGACACTTCCAGGCACCTATGGGCTCTTTCCAGCCACACTGTGTATGTGTTACAGGTGGCAGGGGTGGGGGGAGGCATCACAAGCAGCTATCCAGGATTCCTGGTGGGAAGTGGTGTATAGCTCTTGAGACTTCTGTCCTCTGATGAGAGGCTGGACTCATGGCTCCCTCTTCGCACTGGACATTGTCCAGGAAGCCAAAGCCAGCATGGGACTACCCAGGCCTCTGAAATTCCTTCCTATGGACAGGCCTCCCCTTAGCCCAGCTCTTACCTACTTTTGGGAACTCAGGAATAAGAGGGCCCTGCATGAACCTGCTAACCTTACTTAGCCAGGCCCTCCTCAATTCAATGCCTTCTTAAATGTTGCCAAGGAAACTGACACAGCAGCCAGAGAGCCTGGCCCAGGTCTCCATGACAACCTGCGAGAGCCCACTAGATTGCATCCATGATGTCACCTGAGTCACAGATGGGTACTCTCCACCCCCACCACACTCAAACGTCACAATCCAACGTCAGAGTCTGATAGCAAGTTCCTGTCACAGCCTGTCTACCCCCAACCCTCATGCACCCCAGAGATGAGCAAGGTAGGGGGAATAGGTCATGATGCCCGATTTATATAGCTGGGCACCCTAAGACTAGGAGAAGGGCAAGAGTCAGTAGGCTGGAGGCAGAGCCAGGACTAGACACTCTGTCCCCCATTGCCTCTCCTTCCCTCTGTGCCCCAGCCACCACCCTAGATCTGAGGAAAGGTGTGAGCTCTGGACAATGCTGGCACCAATGGGTGGTTAAGACATTCCCCATCTCTTGCCCCTATTCTGCATCTATGCCCCTCCTGGGACGGGGGTGCTAAACAGCAGGCTCAGCCTGAGGCTATGAAACTGGCAAAGCTTGAAGACTCTAAAGTGGCTGGCCTCTGCCTGAATTTCCTCAGCTCTGGCAACTTTCAGGCCAGGAGCAGAATGACCAGGGAGGGCCAGGAGGAGGACTGATATTTTTAGCAGAGTTGCTGGCAGCTGTTTGGCAGGTGCCAGGAGGTGGGGTGGGGACTGAGTTCAACTTTTCCCTTCTCTGGGCCTGTGTTTCCTCCTCAGGATTAGAGCATCTGCGTCTGCTTGGTGCTGCCAGAGGGTCCCYCTGGTCTCTCCCCCAGAAGCCCTCTAAGGGCCTCCAGGGGTTTATGAGTGATAACAACCGTCACCCTGAAGGGCAGACTTCTTAGGGCGAATCTCCAATATCCCAGAACAGAGAAGAGAATAGGACTTGGTGTTGAGGCTAGAAGCACGGATTTAGTTTGGTATCTGGGCCTGTGGGGAGTGGGAGTCATAGGCGGAGAAGGGTGAATCTCTGTCCAGTCCACAACTAGTCTACTTGCTTGGGCAACAGGCCAGGACTAGGAGAGGGAAGGGAGAATTCACTCTTAAAGGGCCAGACCTAATTCTTCCCCAGAGGGGAGCTACTGCTTGACTGGTCCAGTTTACCGCTGCCTGCCTCCCTCTCACACCCCCCAATCGCTTCCTCTCCTTCCTCCTCCCACCTCTCACACAACCTGCCCCGCCCCTGATGAGTGGGAGTGTGTGTGTGTGTGTGTGTGTGTGTGTGTGTGTGTTGGGGTGGGGGTGAGGTCCCAGGGGGAGGGTGGGGGATTCCCGGGGCGGAACACGTCAGCCCCCGCAGCAGCGTGGACGGGGGCGGAGGGGGCGGGCGGGGGCTTAAATAGGCGGCTCCGGAGCCCAGACCAGCAGGAGCTGAAGAGAGCAGAGGCAGCAGAGGCTACGGCATCAGCAAGGGTCCGAGTGGCTGAACCCTGGTCTGCGAGTGGATTGAATCTTAGGCTCAGCGGGCTGTATCTGTATTGGAGCCCAGATCCTAGTCCTGACCCTGTCTGTGTGTGAGTGGGTGAGTGCCCTGGCAGAGCGGGGTAGGCCGCACCGTCTGGGTTGGGGATGGATAGGCCAGGCCCGGSGGGATCACAGGTTAGGACTCAAGGACCCTAGTGCCTGGGAGTAGGTGGCGGCAGATCCGAGCATCTTGCCTTGACTCCGCATCCCGCCTTCCCTGCGGCTTACACTGATATCCCGGTTCCCGGTCCCCCAGACCCCATCGCGTTGGACGCGATGACTCTGAACGGCGGTGGCAACGGAGCTGGCGGGAGCCGCGGTGGGGTCCGGGAGCGCGAGCGCCGTCGGGGCAGCACCCCCTGGGGCCCGGCGCCTCCGCTTCACCGCCGTAGCATGCCAGTGGACGAGCGAGACCTGCAGGCGGCGCTGTCTCCTGGAGCCCTGGTAGCTGCTGCGACTGGAACCGGGCCCCAGGATCGGAGGCTGGACTGGCCAGAGGGCTCTTCCGACTCCCTCAGCTCAGGGGGCAGCAGTTCAGACGACAGCGTTTACAAGGTGCTGCTGCTAGGGGCTCCAGGCGTGGGCAAGAGTGCTCTGGCGCGTATCTTCGGTGGTGTAGAGGACGGGCCTGAAGCAGAGTCTGCAGGTGAGGTGATGCTACTGTTCAGGGGAGAGGAGATTCCTCCTGGTGCGGGAATGGGATGGGGTTGGGGGGCTGTGGGACTGGAGACCTGGACTAGAAACAGTAAATACCATGGACTTCTAAAGGCAGTTTCAAAATCAGCCCTACCTATTTCAGAGTCTACTTTCCTATTTCAAGATGCAGAGACTTAAGGGAGAAAGGACTCCACCCCCATCCCCACCCCACATGTCAGACCTTGGTAGGAAAGAAATGCCCAAAATAGAAGACCCAGTGCTTGGATATGACTACTGTGTGGGGCAGGACATCCCTCCCTGCCAAGGCTGGCAGGAACACAAGCAGAGAGAGTTCTAGGAGAAGAGCCCTGGATGGCCAAGGCTGGCCCCCAGGGGTATGACAGTCACTATTCTACAGGCACTGTGATCAGAGCCACCATGGGGCCAGACAGCAGGAGGGCAGGGAGCACTCAAGACTTTACTAGCCTAGAGGGCTGTAGATGGAGATCAAGCACACCATGCTGTCCATCCCCCAGCTCCTAGCTCTTATTTTTGTTGCTCATAGTGGAGAGGAGGGTTGGAGGGTTCTGGGGAAGAGAGGGGAGGATGTGGCCACTACAAGAAACAAGGAAATGGGGGCTTTTGACAGCCAACAAGTAACCTGGCTACTTGTCTCCTGCCTAGGGCACACTTATGATCGCTCCATCATGGTAGACGGAGAAGAGGCATCACTCATGGTCTATGACATTTGGGAGCAGGTAAGATTTAGACTGGAACCCGTGGCAGGAGTGGGAAGTTGAGCTGGGGGTAGGGTCCTGCTGGAAGTGACAGGTTCACATCAGGGGCATGAAGACTGTTGGGTTGATGTGTGTGGGTGTGTGTTCTTTAGGATGGTGGCTGCTGGCTGCCTGGCCACTGCATGGCCATGGGGGATGCATATGTCATCGTGTACTCAATAACTGATAAGGGCAGCTTTGAGAAGGCCTCAGAACTTCGGGTCCAGCTGCGACGGGCACGGCAGACAGACGATGTGCCCATCATCCTTGTGGGCAACAAGAGTGACCTGGTGCGCTCTCGTGAGGTCTCCGTGGATGGTAAGCAGGCAGAGGGTCAGGAAAGGGAGGGAGATCCTGGCTGGGCTGTGGTCCAGTTAGTCTTGGCTCAGCTTGAATCCCTGGGGGTCATCAGTGGCTAAAAATATTCAGGAAGACAACTTAGGGGAAAGGAAGGGAGAGAGAGTTGTTGCCCCCACTGTCCTCCACAGGGCTCCCAATGGCTCAAGAGGCCTGGGAAAAGAGTCACATCTGCTAGGGGAAGTAAGGCACCATGGGGCCCTACTCTCCTGCCCCACTGACCCTGACCTGACAGGGAGGTGATCAGGTAGAAGAGAGTTCAGGGAACCAGACCAGAAGGTAAGAGTCTGGTTGCAGGCTGAGACCAATCTCAGAGTAAGCTTGGCCCTTCCTTCTCAGTCTCAGCATCCTCCTCTGTGGCCTCCATCACTGAGTCCCACAGAGGAACCCATCAGTGACTTGCACCACCCTCCAAGTCTACCACCCAAGTCTACTGGGTCATTCATCATAATATGACATCAAAGCTGTCCAAAATAGTTCTTATTTTCTTGGTTGACTGCTGCAGTACTTCCCTTTAAACATCAGACTTCAAATAAATGAATGAATGAATTTCTTTTGTGAGCTACCATTTTGGGGGCTACTTAAACGTAGGCACATCCTGCCTGTGGGGTAACCCTGCAGTGCCCTGGACCCTCAGAACAGGAGTTCTAAGGAAGACCCAGGCCTCCCCTTTCCCTTACCTGGGAATTCTTATGTGGTAGCTGCCAGAGGTGGTCAGGGTTTGAATCCCTACCCTTTGTTTACTGGTACATGCTTATCCCCACCACCTAGAGGGCCGGGCCTGCGCTGTGGTCTTTGACTGCAAGTTCATCGAGACATCAGCAGCACTACACCACAATGTCCAGGCACTGTTTGAGGGTGTTGTGCGCCAGATACGCCTGCGCAGGGACAGCAAAGAGGCCAATGCACGACGGCAAGCTGGAACCCGGCGGCGGGAGAGCCTTGGCAAGAAGGCAAAACGCTTCCTGGGCCGCATTGTAGCACGCAACAGCCGCAAGATGGCCTTTCGTGCCAAGTCCAAGTCCTGCCATGACCTCTCAGTTCTCTGAGACCCTGAAGGCTCTCACTGAGGTGGGCAGATGGATGGGTTGGTGGGCTGGCCCAGCCAACCGCCACTGGTACCTCAGGGCTAGCTCACTTTCTACACCCTGTGGAGCTGCCAGCTGGGCATCCACCATGGGTCATGGACAGAAGGACCGTGCTGCCCCGGGAGRCAGTTCCCAGTGGCTGGTGAGGGCTGGGCCCACAGATGTGCATGTGCAGGCCCACGTATATACCAAGCAGCAACCTGAGCCCAGCCAGACCCGTGTGAGGGGACAGGACCCTGCCTTTCTTCTTTGTGCGTGCCTTGGAAGGAGGCTGTTAAGTGCAGTTGCTATTGTTTACATGGAGATTTTTGTAATAAAGACTTATTTCCTGACATGTCAGGGCTGTGAACTGTGTTTCCTCCTATCTGGGGGCTTCAGGAGCAGGAAGGTATCTGAAGTTGAGAGATAGGAACTTCTTGCCCTACTCTGGTGTGCGGCCTTGATGGTTCTCATGTTTGGGCCTGCATATAGCCAGATGGACTGAGGAAGCAGGTCCGGGCAAGGCAAGGTTGGGAGTGTCCAAGGAGCAGGAGGAGACACAGACCCCTCCCAGCCTCTGTTGTCCAGATCCATCTCTGCACTGGGGCCTGGCATTGCCTGGCTGATTGTGGGTCTTATCACCCCACTATATATAAAAGGAAACATTGCCTGAGAGAACACGCCTTCCCCTGGGTTTCACTGCCTGACGAGAACCCTGGGTCTGGCTCTACACCAGGTATTTCTACCCTGTTCCCTCCTGAGGTGCCGGGAATCAACTGAGCTGCAGATGGAGGGAGGGAAACTTCAGTGACTTGGGTGGCAGAAGGGTGGATGGTTTGTAAGAGTGGGAATGAGGAAGGTGTACCTGAGCATTCTTGGCTCCAGGTGGCTCCTTCATCTCCTATGCTGAGGTTGGGTTACTGAGGGGGCCCACGCAATTCTTCTTAAAATTCTTTCTGGCTGGGCATTGGCTAATTTGATTTTGGTAAAAACAGCTCCCTGGAGCCCTGGCTGCCTGGAATGCAAGAGCATGCTCCCTGCCCACCCACAGTACTGGGGACTGAACACAGGTCCTTGTACATGCTGGGAAAGTAAGTGCTCTTCCTCTGAGCTACATCCCCAGATCATACATTCTTGGAAGAAAGTGAGACTGTGACTCCCTCATCCTCAACACAGGCGCTTGTGCAGGAGTTTGACTATAATCATCCCCCATTATCTATAGTTTCACTTTCTGTAGTTTTAGTCACCCTTCATTGACTACARTCTGAAAATATTAAATGGAAAATTCCAGAAATAAACAGCTCCTACGTTTTAAATTGCTTGATATTCTAAGTAGCATGATGAAATCTTAAGCCATGCAGTTCTGTACAACTCAGGATATGAATCATTCTTTGTCCAGAGGATACACACTGTGTGTGCTACCCACCTGTTAGTCTCTTAGGGCATCTCGGTTATCATATCAATTATCTTGGTATATCACAGTGCTAGTCATAAAGTAATCTTTAGTTTACTTATTTATGGCCCCTAAAACACAAGAGTAGTGATACCGGCAATTCAGACATGCCAAAGAAAGGCTGTAAAGTGCTTCCTTTAAGAAAAGGAGAAAGTTTATTATAGGTTTATATAGGCAAAAATGTAGTGTTCATGACTAAATATGTGTGTGTGTGTGTGTGTGTATACACACACACACACACACATATCTCATATCCATATATATATGTATATGTATACATCATATATATTCACATATATGGGAGGAGAATGTGTGTGGGGGAAGGATACTGTCCTCTGTCTCAGGCATCCACTAGAGGGTCTTGGAATATATCCCCCATGGACAGAAGACCACTGGGCATGGTTTCAGGAATGAGCATTTGCATTTGGTAATGGATAGAAAGTGACTAAATGGGGTCTGGTATACAAATCTCCTCATCTCCAAAACCTGGAGACAGTCTGGGACAAGGTGAAGGACACCTTCTAAGAAGGGTCTGGGACATGATCCATGTATTTCCCATTTCTGCATTAGTTCCATTTATTCATTTCACTGACCCCTGGAAGCTCCCAAGACCTGGTTAGAACCCCAATTACAACTTGTTCCATGGTAAAAGGTTTGAAGCTGGTCCAGTGTGTGTGTGTGGTGTGTTCGTGTTGGGGGGGGGGGGTCTCCACTGAGTCTCACCCACATGCCCCCAAGACAATATTCAACTATTCAAAACTGCTGCTGGTGTCTGTGCCTGCTGCCAATATACTTTGAGGTATGGGAAGGGCATGGTTTTCTCAGAGCAGATRAGGGTCCCCAGCCCTGAAGAGGAATCCTGGCTCTGCTATTTATTGGCTGTGTGACCCAGAGTACTAAGAACCACTTCGCTTCTCTGTGCCCCAGTGTGTGGTTTGAAGACAGTGCCCCCCTTCAGAATGGAGTGGGTAGAATAGTGTGTGCTCAGAGAGGTGCTGGGCATAGTGGGAGCTCAACACCTGTGAGACCCTTTCAACATCCCCACACATCACTGACCCAGACTGGGTGCCCAAGTGACTGAGAGGCAGGCACTCAGCTTGTGGCAAGACTGGGGGCAGCTGACAGGCCCTAGCCTAGCTGCCAGCCTAAGAGAGTCTAACCAGATATGCAGTGGGAAGGCCTCAGGGGAGACCATGGGAAACTCCAAGGACAGGGAGAGACAGGAGACCAGGATATCCCCCCTCCCTCTTCCCCCTCATCTCAGACTCCCAGGCCCCAGAAGCTTCTCCTGGATCTGCTTGGCAGCACTCACTGGGGGAAGGGCTCTGGTCAGCCTTGAAGTTTCTCAAGGTCACCTGAGTTGGCTCAGTCTTCTCTTTCCTTCTCAGAGGCATAAGACAGTTCATTGTCCCAACTCTATCAGCAATCAGGGGCCAATGCGAGGATATGGGGACACTCAAGGGAGCTCACAGCTGTTGTCTCACCCATTAGTCCTACTGGTGAACCACCTGGAACCCTTAATGCCCACTTCAGGTCATGCATTGCTCATCGGCCCTCAGGTCCAGTCCTTGTCTTAGTTTCACAAACCAGTTGGGAGCTGCCAGGCATGGCGAGGGTCAGGTTGTGACTGGAAATTTGAACCCTGCTTTGGGGGGGCTCTGAGTCTAATGAATGGACGACAAGCTGGTGTCCTCTACACGTTGATAGAGAAAGTTTATGGTGTGGGGTGGGGTCATTCCCAGAGGAGGCTCCTGAAGCAGCCTCTGAGCACTGGGGGCTTTCCTGGTAAAGGGACCGTTTGCCCTGAGAACTGAAGCATGGTACTTACCACATAGATGAAGCAGTGGGAACGGCATTCCAAGGAAAAGGAACAGAGTGTGCAAAGGTGCAGCTGCAGGTGCAGGAACACAGGGGAGAAGTGGGACCCAGTCTGAAGCCATGGAAAAAGTAGTGTCCAAGCCCAGAAGGCCAAGAATTGTCTACTGAGCTGTGTCGGAGAAGGGGAGGGCCAGGCCATGGTTTGCCCACCTCCTGGGGCTGGCAGTCACGGATGCTGAGCAGCAACCAGCTTTCCAATGTCAATGAGTAACTTGGGGGCTAGGCCAGGCCAGGCCAGCTGCTATGGGCCTTGTGGCATTTTCCACTCCTGAGCAAGCAAGGCTGGCCCGCCTACCTGTTCAAGTGCCCGCCTTGTCCTACTGGACCCAGCCCAGCCTGCCCAGAGCTCCCCGCAGAAGGAGCCCTCTTACCTGGCAGCTGGACCAAGGGTAAGGGAATGGTTGTGGGAGGGAGTGGGAAAATGGGGTCTGGGGGCACCACCCTCTCTTTCTGTTGTCCTTTGGGGACGAATTTCCAGGGATCCATCTTGGAGTGGTTGTGGATGCTCTATGTGCTTAGCTATAGGCCAAGTGCTGGAAAATGCCCAGATGAGGGCAGAGCTCTTACCAGGGGGTACTCCATGTCTGGAGTGTGGCAGTGGGAAGCAGGACAGTCCCTGAAACCCCAAGCCATGAATCCTTGTTCCAAGAGGAATGTTCTTGTGGTCAAGTCCTCTATGACCTTGGCCAGGCCCTGACCTTCAGACCTTGCCTGCAACATGAGGCAACTACAGGAAGTGACCTCACACAGTCTTTCCATCTAAAACTTTTGTGATTTGTTGTGTGTCCGGGGATGCGGGGCTGCCGGAAAATCACTGCATTGGGATCTACGAGCTGGGGAGGTGAGGGCTTGAGAGAGACAAAGGTCTGGAGGGATCCTTGTGGGAACAAGAGCCAAGAGGGTCTGGGGTCTTGCTGGGTCTTGCTGGGGAGCTAGACACCTCCCTGCAGGCAACAGTGAGCCACAGGGAAGGAAGAGGAGGCTAGTCCATAGTGAGGTTCCTCTAGTCGTGTGAATGGGATAGAACCTCCCTTCCCACTCCTCTGGGCCAGATTCTCACTGCCATGTCCCTCAGGCCTATCCTGACCATGGTCCCTGCCTGGCTGTGGCTCCTTTGCCTCTGCGTCACCCAGGTGAGTTGGGTCCTGCCCCTCCTTCAGGCTCTGGTCTTGGGGGTTGGCACCCTTTTCCCTCAACTCCATCTGGGCCAATTTACTCACCATAGGAAGAGTATGGAAGTGGGGGGCTCAGAGCTGGGGGTGTGGAACTGATGTGGGGTCCAGAAGTCAAAAGCCAGAAGATGGATGGACTGAGGAAGAGCCAGGTCCAGAGAAGGGGCAGAAATTCCTCTTCCCATCACATCCCAGCACCTTTGTAGGAAGATAGACCATGGGTCAAGGTGAGCATTCACTCACAGGTTTTCCCTGAGGCCCAGCCTGCAGATCTGCATGTGGAAGTCCCTGAAAACTATGGTGGAAATTTCCCTTTGTACCTTATCAAGGTGAGCTTGAGAGCTGGTAAGTTCCAGCTCAGTGTCCCCTCATGTAAAGTAAGTGAAGGGGTACTCTACAGGGGCCTGGCCTCCACTTCCTTTGGTTCCATTCTTACCAGCTGCCACTGCCCCGTGAGAAGGCTGAAGGTCGGGTTGTACTGTCAGGGGACTCAGACATGGCAACTGAGGACTCCTTTGCTGTGGACCCAGATTCTGGCTTCCTGACAGTGACCAGGGCCCTGGACAGAGAAGAACAGGCAGAATATCAGCTGCAGGTATGGTTGGCAAGGTATAGGGGAGAGTAGGCAGGGCAAGACCAGGTACTCAGTACTCTTCTTTGCCAGGTCACCCTGGAGACTGAGGATGGACATGTCTTGTGGGGTCCGCAGCATGTGATTGTCCATGTGAAGGATGAGAATGACCAGGTGCCCCAATTCTCCCAGGCCGTCTACAGAGCTCAACTGAGTCAGGGTACCAGGCCTGGTGAGTGATGAAGGAAGACAAGTTGTAGCAGTCAGGTGAACACTTAACG